AAAAAACTAATAACTAATAATCTAAAATTAAACTGTATATGAGCTACAAATGCATAAACATAATTTTTTCTTTCTGTCCCAATGTAATACAAGTTAAAAAAAATACTAATTAAAAATAAAACTATATTTTTAATCGAATATGAAGCATCACGGAGCTTTTCTTTTTAGGTCCGTGCCTTGGAATGCCCGATTTGTTTAGAAAGCGCTGCGCCTCCAGTCTCACAATGTGTTCATGGTCATATTTTGTGCGTCGTCTGTAGGCCGAAGACGACGCGTTGTCCGGTCTGCAGAGTCCGGCTCGGTCAAGGCCGATGTCTTCTTGCAGATAAATTGCATAGAGCACTTCGCGATGCCTTTAACATGGATAATGGCGAGAAGATAGACAAAACATCTGTCACGACCAATCGTTATAACTTACGTGACCAATTGTTTGGTAAAACTAGCAAGAAGCAAGAGACTCCAATTGTAAATCAGTCAAAGAACAATTGTACTACTTTGAAACCGAGACAATTCTTATTAGCCAGATTGTTGCTCGGAGGCAGAGAAAAAGCTGCCTCCGTGGATAATCTAATTCGAGTATCTGACATGTCGAAAGAAACCGTGACGATTCCTGATGGAGACGTTAACAGTTTACGCGTGCGATTGAATGATCGCACTAAATCAGCTAGTACCGGCGAATTATCGAAGGACAGCGAAGCTCGCATTAATGACTCTTCGCAAATTGTTGGCGAATCAGCTATGGCCAATGCTAGTCAGCAATCACTGAGTTTACCTGAGACGCCAATTTGGGGTGGTTCCACAGATTCTGTGTCTTGTATACAGCTGACATGTCCGCTTTTGCAATCTTGTACAGAATTAGTGATGCCTGACTCTCTCCTAGAACACATCAAGACTCACAAAGTGCCGCAAATTCATTTTTATTCTGGTAGCGCAAGAATCCCGCTTCCACTTCCTTTTGGACGCGACGCTCTTTACATATTCCACCATGGAAGTAATATGTTTTTCTTTCAGGTATAGCATCTTTATATCTTTAACGAAACAATTTCGCTTCACGTTTATGTGAAGACGATATTTTTTTCTTAACTTTAGTCCTTTACGATAAAATTTATGCAAAGAAATCGATAAGAAAAATAAGAACGATCCAAAATTCGTATCACAAAGGACTAAAGTAAAGAAAAAAATATCGTTTTCACGTGTATACGTGTGCATAAAAACGAAACAAGATAAAAAATATTTCGAATGTACGAGATAAAAATATATAATATCTGTAAATCAAAATTTGATTATTTTATCTAATATCATCAAACTTTGATAATGAAGTTTTGCAAAGAATTCATACAATCTGTATTTTTATCTTCGAAAAGGCTTTATATTATATAATTTATAGACTAGAATACACGGAATACCTGTAACTTTTCGTAGAAATGTAATATCATATTATTTTTACATAGTATGCAGACGAAATAGCATGGATGACACATCCTGCCAAGATGGCGTATTCAAACACATGGGAATGGATATTGCACGCTCGGGGTGACAATGGTACAGAAGTACAATTACGAAGACACGTAGCGAGTCTTGAGGATTCCACGACATTATCTTCGCAGCATATTGTCCCATTGCCAAATGCATTATTGTTGAAAACCATTGAAATACAAATAGCAGAATATGGAGCAAATGATAGATTATACATGTGAAGAGACAGATATATTTCCTGTTCTAATAAATTTATTATTACACACTTAATTAGAACAAAATATATCTTAAAAGGATATATAAAAGATTTATATAAAAAAGTAATAAAAGAATTTATTTTCATTGATACGACGATTTAACATGTGATAATAATACATATGTTAATTATTTCGAATATAAGATATAAGTACTTATTTAAAATCTTAATTAACGAACATATACTATTTATTTTAACATCACGCAGAATATTTCAAAATGTACGAGTCACAACGAAAAATTAAGTTCTAGGATAAACTAAGTAATACAAATTGGTAAAAAAATTATTATTAAAAATAAAATAGTTTATTCTATAGATAAAATATTAAAATTATAAACACGGCACATATATATAATTAACATAATCGTATTGATGTTGAGATCAATACCAATACGATTAATTATCCGAAGATGGCTCAATCTTGAGCCGAAACATGTATCAATCTTTACCTTTATTTTATACATTAAATATTTTAATTTATACTGTTTTTTTTTGACAAACTGACTCTTACATGCCGTGTTTATATAATAATTTTATTATTTTATCATTAAGAGTTCTTTAATCTTATTTATTATATATAGATATATTGCAAAGATATTTACTACGTACAAAGGAACATACACATATTTTAATACCAGTATAATAACATAATAAAACTTGATTTTTGTCAAGGTTTGTTTTATTTCGTTTTGCCCATTTCCACCAATATAGATTAACCCTGTTCAACTTACTCTCTTCGTCTTTATCTAGTTCTAAAAATTAGAAAAAGAAATGAAAAGTAAATTGAACTGATTGTGAGACTAAAGTTAACTTATATTTTTATAGTATATATATATTACATAAAAATATATATATATATATTACATCATGGAAATGGACAGTAATATACATTCGCGTATTTATAAAAATATTTCTTCCTATTTTATTGTTTTTACAATACATGTTGACATTATAACACAAAAGTTCAAGAAAATTGAAAGAGAGGAAGTATACTTGTGTGTGTTTCTTTGTTAGTTCCTGAAGACTTTAATTCATGTATTTTCGAAAATATCCTGTATATCATAAGAGATTTAACTTGGTATTTAAATTCATGCTCAACAAAATACTATTTTTTAACTTCATTTTATAACTCATAAAGAGAGCAGTCATTAATTAAAATACTACTTTAATATATTTTTATTTAACATATAAACATAATATGTAAACATTAATTACGGAACATTGAATCATAGTAAAATTACATGGCATGCACATGCATATGTACTCATAAGATAAAAAAATTAATTAGCAAAAACACAAAATATTTTTAAAACAAAAAAATCTTATCTATTAAAACTTGGAAATGATTAATGATTTAAAGGCACTTTGCGTGATATTTCATCCATATATGGCTTAAAACATTCATGCTGGCCAGTTCTCGCTGCTTGACCGGCCATAATATCATATGCATGTTTATAAACTGATAAATAATTTTCTTTACCAACGATATCTAATTCGACTTTATAAACATGCGTGTCATAAGACGGTATCTTTTTACCAGATGTTAAAGCAATTTCTCTTTTGACAGATATTGATCGTTCCAAATCATTCTCGCCTTTTATTTTGTCGCGTTTGGGACAGCTACATATTCTAATTCCTAATGTTTGCCGAGCTAAAATTTTCTTTCTTTTATCTTCTAACGTGAATTCTAACTCAGTCTCCCTACGATTCATACCAGATGGACAACTATTTTTGCAAAAAAACTTGAAACACATGGCTACATATTGCGAGCCAGGCTCGGGTGTACGAAGCGGTGTTAAGATGGAAAGATGTTCATTTTCCTCTTCGTAGGTACTCGCGGCGTGATTAACGCAGTAGACTACATGTTTTCTTTCTGGATCCACTAATTCATTGTTATAACTGGTCGATGCTATATGATTGGGGCATCGTCTTACTGGATCGTTTTTATGTTGCTCATACACGAAAACTAATTTTGTACGCAAGAATAAACCGGAAGTAGTTGGTTCCCATGTAAATCGTAAAGGCAGTGTCTTTTCCATTTTTACATACGCTTTTTTCAATATCTGAGAGTACTATATAAAAAAAAAAAACAAACTTAATAAATTATTATAACTATATAGAAGAATAATATTAAGATCAATCATATATATTACATGCAACATTATAAGTTTGGTTCATAAAATAGTTTAGTTTATATCAATGTTAACAGAAAATTAACACACTTGATATAATACATTTAATCAATACATCAATTCATCTACTACATAAAAAGCTTACACCTACAGTATACAATATTTAGTTAAACATGAATACAATATGAACAGATCAATTGATAGCTTGTATGAAAGTTAAAGTGATCGTCTAATAAGCAGATTTCTAAGGTCTATTCTTTGTAGCTAATATACAATTGTATTTAAAATGAAATAAACATGAATGCTTTCTATTTTATGATAGAAGTTGATACAAACATTATTAAGTACAGTTCAGTATAGTGACGAAGAACAACCCTACATACTTTTAACAGTACAATATACAATGATTAGATATCAAAACATTTCCAAGCAAGATCTCTTACTTTTTCATCTTTATTATTTTACTTTAACTTTTCATAATTTAATGAATAAGATGATACAAGAAATTTTTTGTAGATTACATGAAATATCTCATACAAAAATTATGTAATCATAATTTTAAAAACTAATTGCACTTATCATCAAGACAGAATTGATTTACAAGAACATGTGATAATAGATTTCAGTCTAACTCATGAAATAAACACAATTAAATAAAATAGATATATTTCTACAAACTTCCTCTGCACAATTATTTTATAAATTCTGAATTTAATGTAGGTTTTAAATTATACATAGTTTGCTTACCACCCAATCCTGTCCACCATTCTCTGCCAAGGTATATTGAAAATTTAATGTGCATAAATAATTGGTGTACAGATATGGATAATAAATTTCTTCCTCTGTTTGACTTTTTAACTTCTTTTCCGGAGAGATATCTGTGGACTGAGTGAATATGGGATATTTGTTGTCTTCTAGAATCTCAAATTCGTTCATGTCTTCTGGCAATGGCAATGTACCACCGCTTTGAAAAAACAAAACAAATGAACAAAAAGTTTAGTTAGGATTCTTTCATTGTTTGATTACAATATAGGTAACAACAGTAGGTTCATACCATGAGTAGGTTCACTCTTCATGTAATAACGTTTTTCACTGGCAAGAATAGTACACACTCAGTGCACATTATACACTAATCTGATGTTAAAGTGAGATATCTCATTTGATAAAATTATTTTGTCAAATTACACAATAAAATATATTGAAGATTTTACGGTTTTATTCATTTTTTTATTTTTATTAAACATATATTTCTATGTTGATTATGTACAAAGGCATTAAAGTACACTTGGTGCGCACTAGCTCTGCCAGTGAAAAACACTGTAAGATTGGGTGTATTCAGTATGACAACCGCTCACTGAGTGTTCAGTGAGCTCTTGCATCTGATTGGCATATTACGTTAAATCTAAAAATATAGACCAAACAAGAGTTCACTGCGCGCTCAGTGAGCGGTCGTTTCTCGTTTTAAATGCATCCATTAATCAATCAGAGAATTGACACAAATGCAAAAAGCAATGTGGCTCCAACAAAATCGGAATGAATTCTGATCGGAATTATTTAATTATTCCCTAAATTTCTATTGTATTTCTTAGGAAAAACGGAATAACTCCTATCGGAATTCATTCCGATTTTGTTCCATAATACGTGTCCAGATTAAATTTAGATTATATGTTGTCACGCGCGATCCTTGTGTGCACAATCGCGCTACATTTGAAGTTAAATTTTGATTGGCTACTCCGAATTCAACTCCACAATTATCATGCGCAAAGAAACATCTTGGCTGTGTTCCATTTATTGCCAGACTGAAAATCTATAGTAAATGTGACATAAATTATAGATTTTAAATCAAAGAAAACGAGCATTTCTTGCTTCAATCCTGATCCAGCGTCGAAAGAATTATTTATATTAACATTCCTACAGGAGGTATTTCACTCTTGTGATATGCAGCGTTCAGATTAAAAAATTGTTAAAAAATATTTAAAAAGTGGAACTCTGAGCAAAACTTATGGAAAGTACTGGAATTATTGCAGAATTATCGGAAAATGTCAATAAGACGACTGAAACTGGCTGTTAATCTTTAGGCTGCCGACAATTTTTTGTTAAAATAGTGGTCTTTTTTTTTTGAAAAGTTTTTGAGAAAATAAGAAAAAATATAAGTAACATACACATGATACAAAATATTGAGATTTGTGCAAAGTCATAAAAAGTGGCTTTCTCAGCATTCTAAAGGTTGGGTTAGGTAACACCATGGAGTGTGTCCATAACTCTCACATAAAAAAATTACTTAAAAATATTTAAAGACCGGAAACTTGCTAAAAATATATTAGGAGCTGTATAGAACTTCGAAAACTATAAAATTTCACAATAAAAAAATCAATATTTTGAAACTTTGAAGTGCATGCAAACAAAGTTATCATCTTATATTTTCATTTTACTTTTTTTTAACTAAATCAACGTAACTGTTTATAAAACTTAAGTGGAACTGTAGAACTCTATTATGGGTGCAAATAGAATTGTTAATATCATTTTCGATTTTTTAAATGAAGTGTCAGCTTCACAAAGAGCTTCGTCATAACTACGACAGATTTCCTAACCTGAATAAACGATAAATTAAATCAATATCAGGTCACGAGACAAAGTGACACTTTCGTTTAATTCATGAAGAAAAACGCGTCAATTAGTATATTTTTTATTCATTTCTATGATTGTATACGTTAAACTAAACAATTACCCATAGTTCCGAACGATGTAAACGAGGCGATTGTGCTGCAGTTCGAATATTGCATCATCTCTTATCTTTTGAATTTTTTGGCTTAAGTACGTTTCATGCATCTGCATCTCATACATACAATTGACTATACCACTTAAATTAACTTATTTTTCATTTCAGAAGTTCGATGGCCATTCAATTAAAAAATGTTTCATTGTATAAAAAAGCTATTCGTGATAATAGAAACGCGACCGACAAAATAGTCGAGGAACAGAATTAAACGAAAATATATTACTTACAAAGTCTTCTCTATATCCTTATAGGTTTCGTCATCCATTAATGCAGATTCCTGAGAATCTGAAACAACATTCACGCCTAACATGTTTGCAATTCACAGTTGAAAATCAATCGAAGAAGGACGTATAAATCGAACCGATCAACGTGCAGTCGCATCTCAATCAACCCAACTACACACGGTGCACTGCACTGCAACACAACACGGACGAACGACGCGGGACGGCCGGACTAGTGATGCGGATACTTGTATCGATGCATCGAGAATCGATTCTTTTTGTTCTTGAAGAATTCGTTTTCAAGCGATTCTTTCGGAATCGATCCAATTTTTTCAGCGCTTAAGCGGGGAGCACAGACTTTTGCATAACGCATAAAGCATGTGCATAAGGAATTTCATTGGCCCATTTTCTTATGCATGAGTCAATGGACCAATCAAATTCTTTATGTATATGGTTTATGCGTTATGCAAAAGTCTGTGCTCCCCGCTTTAGTGAGCGGTCGTGCTTCTGGATGCACCTAATGAGAGCCGCGCTTTCTTTTAGGATTGTCCTGCCATTGGCTGTCGCTAGTTAACGATAGCGACAATCATCGATAAAACGTTTAGAGAATCCCGGCCCTGAGGCCGTATTCTGTAACTCGTTAAGCAGTTAACGACATCGTTGCGCAGCTTTTTATACCATAAGATATCTGCGCAACGATGTCGTTAACTGCCTTAACGAGTTACAGAATCCAGAGGCCCTATTCTGTAACTCTTAACGACAGTGTCGATATCGTTACAGTGTCGTTGCGCAGCTTTTTTATCGTATGAAATATCTGCGCAACGACACTGTAACGATAACGACGTTGTCGTTAAGAGTTACAGAATAGGGCTACAGGGGCTGGTTTACATCGTGCACTTGATACGCGTACTAACTAGTTACTTTCTATTAAATTATCTTAATTTCAGCAATGTATTTAAAGAATGATGTATAAAATTGATACAATACGCATCAAAATGTTTAACTAAATACGTTTATTGTGTATAAATTTACATATATCGCTGAAATTAAGATAATTCAATAGAAAGTAACTAGTTAGTACGCGTATCAAATACACGATGTAAACCAGGCCTTTAGCGACGAAACTCATCGATCGCTATTTTTTTTGGAGATCATGAAAATAAAATACGCGATGAAAAATAGCGATCAGTAGCGATTAAGCCGTAATCACACTAGCGATTACGGCTTTACGGACATTACGATTGATGTTATAATTCCTTTTATACATACAATCATACTATTCAATATATACAGGAATACCATGAAGGCAAAGAAAAGGTTTCATAATAATGAAAAATCAAGAAGAGGTTAGGAAGAAACGATTGTTTAGCGCAGTATCTGGGCTTATGTCTGTAGATAGAAAAACATACAAAAAAAGAAGATTTCGGAGGACTCCTGTTTGTTCAGAACGGGAATTTTGACAAAATTCAAATTGTAGCGATCATCGCCTATTGTCGCTACAACATCAATAAATCGAACTACAGAAGCGACTGTCAGCGATGACTTTCAAGTTTCAAGCGACTGATGGAGTCACGTGACTCTCAGATCGCTACAAAAGTTGCGACTAATCGCCGCCATGAAAAGGTACCTTTATTGACCAATCACAATCGAGTATTCTCCTTTTACAGTAAAATGAGAGGGGGAATACCCAACTGTGATTAATCAATTCTTACTGATTACAACCAATATAAATACTTCCTTAATTAAAAATTTTTACATTGTATGCGCGCGCATGTCCGTTGCTTCATGGCGGGAACCGCATGTCGTCGCATGTGGCGCACTACAGAGAGGTACGGTACGTGTCGGAAGCAAACGACTCCAATATGGCGAATGTGAGGGACAGTGATACATCGTTGTGGCTGCATAATAAGCTTGGTACATCAAATGATAGCTGGACCGGTAGCTCAATTTGCTCGCAACTCAATGCTGAGGTGTTGCGGAACATCAAAGATTGTTTTCCCGACCTGCAAACGCAGGTTAAGCTCAAGCTTCTCCTGTCGTTTTTTCACATACCTAGACGTAATGTTGAAGAGGTAAGCATTCTTTCACATCTTCCACATATTTTTATACTTTCATTAAGTAAGTATTGCTCTTTTCCGAAATATACTTGCTCTCAACAAGGATGAAATTAATAGTGAATTCATATATTTCTAATAGGTATTCGCCTACTAATGGACTTACAATTTTTTAATATTTTTTTGTATTAACTTTATTTTATTAAAATTTTTTTATTTAAACTTGGTGACAGTGGCGTTCAGAACTGGAGGAGATTATTGAGGTTGCAGCTGTGGACAGTGAATTATGGGTATCAATGTTATCCGAAGCGATGAAAACTTTTCCATCGACTGGTTCTTTAAATACAGACATCACTGATTTAGATGAACATAAACGAATTTTTGGTGAATTAGTCAATGATTTGAAGAAACTTCTGAAGAAACAGAATGATCCCGCTATGTTGCCTTTAGAGTGTCATTATCTCAACAAGACTGCATTGACTTCAGTAGTAGGTCAACAACCTACACCAATCAAACATTTTACTCTTAAGCGGAAACCAAAAAGTGCAGCCTTAAGAGCGGAATTGCTTCAGAAAAGCACTGATGCCGCTAGTAATCTCAAAAAGAGCACAGCTCCTACCGTACCAGTAAGAAGCAGAGGAATGCCAAGAAAAATGACTGATACAAGTATATATAAATTCATAAATGCATGTTACTTATTTGGGTTATTTGTGCAATATATTATATACTCTTTTTAGCACCTTTGAAAGGAATCCCAAGCAGAGTTCCAACAAGCGGTTTTCGGTCACCATCACTCACAAACACTTCTATGTCTAATAGAACACCGATCAGTAGAATTCGAAAGGATGGTGGTATTAAATTGCTGGATATTACTGAGCAGCCTATAGGATTTGTAGCAAAGAAGAGGAAAAAGATGCTAGATTTCGAGGAGCAACAAAAAAAAGCTGTGGAAGCACAAGCGGTCACTGTAACAGAAAAGAATTCAGCGTCTCCTTCATCAGTCGTGGAAACTACAACTCCGGAGTACGCGCAAGGATTGACCTCAATAAATCCGCCTGCTACGCCTGTTGCACCAGCTGTAGTAGTTACAACGCAATCCTATACCGCACCTAGCACACCAAGCAGTATTTCGGTTACAACTACGCAGCAAACACGTAAGATTACTTACAGTACTAAAAAGATTGTGTTATTTTGCTTGGATTTTTATTAAATAGTTTATATTATACAGCTACTACGTTAACTACTACCACCACAACACCCACTACTGTATTAGCAGTGACTGCACCAACAGTGATAACACCTGTGGAAAGCACGCCGGTCGCTGTGCAAACGGTCAAACCACCTCAGACAGTCACACAGATTCGTATACAGACTACCACGCAATCTAATGCAGCAGTTAACCCAAGAAAAGGCCTATCTCTTACGGTAAGATTAATGATTCAATTACATGCATTTAATTATATGTTGTAAATGTGGAATACTCACTGTTTATTGTTATCGGATTACAGCGAGAACAAATGTTAGAAGCACAAGAAATGTTTAGAACTGCAAATAAAGTAACGCGTCCAGAAAAAGCTCTTATCTTAGGTTTTATGGCTGGTTCGAGGGGTATGTCTATCTCTTTCACATGTATTTTTCTCTTTTATAAATTGTAATAATGTTATTAATTGTTCCGCTTGTAGATAATCCTTGTCCAAAATTGGGCAATATAGTCACGGTGATGCTTTCGGAGAATGTAGAAGATGTAACACAATCTGATGGAACAACTGTTCCGATGTTGGTTGAAACTCATTTCCAAATGAATTACACGAATGGCGAATGGAAAAGGATAAAGAAAAATCGACGTACTGTATCGGATGAATCTACGTCCACTCCTGCGCCAAATGCAACTGCCACAGCTTCCAATTGAAAGAATTTGTTTAAATCGCTATAATATAGAAAATTTATATATATATGAGACATTGTTTTGTGGTTATTAGAGCAGTAAATTGATAAAGACGTTACTAAATTAACAATTCAATTCATATTTCATATAAGATCTAATAAGAATTGTTGAATTATCGATTTTGAATTGTTAAATTTTTATCTCTATAACGAATTTTATCGCTATCTCATATATATTATATAATCAATCATAAATTATAAAGCTTAGTAATTTTTATATTTAGGCTTCAGTTAAATGGAAATTTATTCAAATGTACTTTTGGCGTATCTTTTGTTTATTCTTTCAACACATTTTATATATATATATAAGAAATATGTAAAAGTAATAGTACATATTATTTTAAAGTTTATATTATTTGATAGAAGAATAATATACAATGTGAATAGTCAAATGTTTGTTTATAATATTACTATTAAAAATCTAATCATATATTATATATACACACACAGATATATGAATATATACATATATTTTAATAAGAATGAATATAAGACTTCTATAATATTGTTATTTAAATAAACATGATTACATTTCTGTTTTGTGTGTGTTGCTTATAGATATATTTTTTGCAATATGCTATTGATTGCATTATATTCACTGGTCATAAGCACTATACTTTTTAATCATTTTACACATATAAAATGGGATAACTTTTGTTTTAAACATTTAATTTTCAATAGTTTTTCGATCAGATATAAACAAGAAATAATATTTATTTTAGTAAGTGCTCAACTTGCTTTTTAATTTTTGTAACTTTACGTATATAAAATTAAAAGATTTTATAATTATTTTTACGAGATTGTAAATATTTGCTATTTTACATATGATTTAAATCAAATTACGTCACAAACATAATACATTTAGGTAAAGAGGAATTCTATACAGGCATGCGTAATACACCGAATACACGTTGCTATAATTGTGTTTCATAACGACATAACCTTTTTATTCCGGTTCAGCCGGTTGCGATGTTCGTGTGTTGCTAAGAGGGATTGACGAAACTTTTTACGTCTAATTTTTGATTCTACGACTCTGCAAGTTTTACAAACAACAGCGAATTTAAGGTGTACTTATACTCTGTTCTTACAATGTTTCGATTACTTGCTTCGTTGCGTGCACGAAGTGGAACTTTGGTAAGTGCTAGGTATATCGAACTCCCTGTCATACATTTCAAT